TTTTTGAACTTAGACTGACTTTTTAGATATTTTATTTCTCTTTCTCGTAGTCAGCTTCGATGTGATTTTGGTCATCGTAAAAGCCACTGAGGATGGCCTTCTGAAAATGTATCATAAACATTCTCTTTTTTTACGAATATCTCATCATGTTTTATGTCCTTATGCTAGATCTTTCTTGTTTGAGATTCCGATTCTTTCAAGAATATATGACTTAGTGCAAAGATTCATTTTTCTTACACCACATGAATTTTTCTCCGTTCTGATAGATACCATAACCCTAGAACTTTTTTATATTGTTATTTCCTGTATTCTACTTTGATTTCCATATTTTAGAGTGATCTACTCTGGTATGTCGTCGTCAGGATCAAGTCGGCTATGGGTCGGCCCATTATTGCTCATACTCGTCATAGCCTTGATCTATATATTCAGTCTTATGCCGAATACACCACCTCCGAGAGTGAGTCCTTTATTGAGTTCCTTTTTTTCTAAAGGTTGAGCAACGTCTAGAGAAAATCAAGCAAACATTTAATCGCAATTTTTCACTTCAGTTGTCTCTGTGATTGCAATAGGGCCTGTTTTTTGAAGGTTTTAGAATTGTTTATTTCTCAAGTGCTAAATAACCCCATCCTAATGGTCCCTTGAATCCGAAATTCTAGGAACTTACACCACTTATCGACGACGCTCATCATGTTCGTACATTCCGCTTAGGAGACCATGAGATCACTGAGTCGTTCGATGATTTGAAAGTCGATGTTCCACGTGAGTTTTTTGTATCAAAAGACTTTTTTTTGCTTTTTTTGAAAATTTTTTGTCGTTTCTGTGGAAAATAATCATTTCAAGTTTGTAAAAATTACGGCGGAGCTGATCCAAATTAATGGGTCAGGACATTAGGTCGCCCATATACTCCACTTACGCGGACAGCTAGCATGAGGCAGTAATGTTGGAGGCGCGCAATTTGTTGCAAATGTCCGCGCGGGACCTCACCTTTCGGCGACCTAATGTTTTCTACCCAAAACAAATTCGAAAAAATGGTGAATGCGTTGTCGTTCAAATGAAATGAATGATGTAGAAATCGTTTTGTATTTCGAAGCGATTTTCATTTACTTTATTCTGCTTTTTGCATTTTTTCCTTGAAAAAACCCTACCTCATGGACGGAAATTTGAAGAATCGTGAAAAAATTAGAGAAAAGTTCTTGGCTCGATGTTTTTCTAAAAAAATTTTGCTGCCGTTAATGCTTTATGGATCGATTATGATTCCTGCATGGTGATGAAAGAAAAATCATTTGTTCATTTTGCATGATTTTTTATCGCAATTTGGTAAAACGATTTGTGATCTTCTTTACGCAAAATTATCTTAAAAAGCTGACAATCATTGTGATTGAATTTTTGCTGGAATTTTGAAAG